ATTTTAGTTTCATGTCTTAAACAATCATCTGATCGTACCTCAGTAACTTTGCACTTACTGTGCAAGGAACACATTACCTTCTAAGTAGCTGTTGCCCTAGAAATCCACATGATCCCCTCACTACATTAACATCTCCTCTCATATTCCACCTTAACAGAGAGGTCTTTCCCAAATGTCTTGCCTAAATGATACGCTCTCTAACCTCTAGCCCTGCATTGTTTTTTTAATAGCACTTCCACCTGACATATATTTGTTTATTGTTTTCTCCACGCACCACTCCTGAACAAGTCAGGATCTTAAAGAGATGCTTGTACTTTCATGTTCTTTGAAGCATTATCCACAATAGCCAAGATATGGAAACAACTTAAATGCTAACTGACAAAGAAATCAATAAGCACATGTGATATATACATATAATGTAATATTACTCAGCTTAAAAAAGAAAGGAGATTTTGCCATTTGTCCCATGGTTGGACCTGAAGGACATTATGCTAAGTGAAATAAGCCAGACACACAAAGGCAAACAATTTATAATCTCACTTATAGGTAGAATCTAAAATAGACAAACCTATAGAAGCAGAGAGTAGAATGGTAGTTGCTAGGAACTGAAGGGAGGGGAAAAATAGGGACTAACGGCCAAACGGCATAAGGCTTCAGTTATGCAAGAGAAATATATTCTGGAGACCTACTATATAGTATAGTGCCTGTAGCTAACAATCATATATACTTAATATTTACTAAAAAAGTACATCTTATGTTGTATTCTTACCACAATGAATAAATAAATAAATAACAATAAAGGAGTCAGGAGGAAACTTCAGAACGTGATGGATATATTCATTACCTTCATGGTGGTGATGGTTTCATATGTGTATACTTTTCCACAAATTCACTGAGTTGCACACATTAAATATGTATAGTATTTAAACATTTTCAGCTTTGCTGAGGTATAAATAACAAATAAAATTATAAGATGTAAACATGATAATTTTGTATATGTATACATTATGAAAGGATCCTCCCTCATCAATTTAATTAACACATCCATCTGCCTCATACTTACCTTTTAGAACATTTAAGTTCTAATCCCTTAACACATTTCAATAATACAATACATTGTTATCAATTATAGCCACTAAGCTATACACTAAATCCTCAGATCTAACTCATAACTGAAAGTTTGTACCCATTTACCAACCTCTATTTCCCCAATTGCCCATTCCTGATAGTCATTTTCTACCTTGTTTCTATAAGTTCCAGATGTTTTCTGGTTTTTTTTAGATTCCACATAGAAGTGCGTTATATTTCTTTGTCTGGCTAATTTATCTTAGCATAATGCCCTCAAGTTTCATCCATGTTGCCACAAATGGCAGGATTTCTTCTTCTTTTTTAAGGCTGAATAATATTTTATATTTTATTGAATACATATACCACGTTTTCGTTATTCATCTGTCAAAAGACACTTTGATTGGGGCGCCTGGGTGGCTCAGTCGGTTGGGCGGCCGACTTCAGCTCAGGTCATGATCTTGTGGTCCGTGAGTTCGAGCCCCACGTCGGGCTCTGTGCTGACAGCTCAGAGCCTGGAGCCTGTTTCAGATTCTGTGTCTCCCTCTCTCTGACCCTCCCCCGTTCATGCTCTGTCTCAAAAATAAGTAAACGTTAAAAAAAAATTAAAAAAAAAAAAGACACTTTGATTGTTTCAAAATCTAGGCTATTGTGAATAATGTTGGAATGAACATGGGAGTCTTTTGGAGCAAGGCCACACCACCTTTTGGAGCAACTATTCTATTTTCAACAAGAACTAGCTTTTTACTGGCTTCTGGCAATAACAGGTAACCATGAACCAAAGCAACTCATTCTGGACTGGGGATTATCTTGTTTATACAGCCATGAAGTTAGGCATTTCCAGCAGTAATCTATTATCCATTAGAAATCATGTATACAAAGTGGAAACCCTGCCCCCATTAAGACTTCAAAGGCAAAAGTCCGATCCATGGATGGTTTCTTAATGTTTGCAAATATAGTTCCACCTATCTAGCTGCCACCTTTCTTTGAATTTGTGTGTTTTGCTTGAAGGGGTAACTTGAGACCAGTTGACACAAAAGAATAAAACTCAAGGCCAGATTACCAATGACCCAGTATCAGTGAAAAGTGAGCTATGTAACATTATAGTGTGTCTCAGCCATGGTCAAAGAAGACAACTGGAAAGGAAATTTCTCATTGGCCATTGTGCTTCCTAGAAGTTTGGCTTGAGGACAGTCCTTTTTTCCTTATATAACCTGTTATTGGTTTTGATTTTCCTCTCATGTCTAATATGCCTCAGAAAGTACTGCTACCCACGGGCTTACTGAATATTTTATTTACTACCATAAAATGCTGCACAGCCCTTCTTCTAACCAAGTAATTTGTTTCAAAATGAAAAAAAAAGGCAATAGGTACATATTACATCAGGGATTTTACACTTCCTTATTATACATGGGTAGTAGACGTTGAAAGATTGGCCTATTGAGAATTCCACCCGAACATCAGCTGAGGGACACTGCTACATAATTTGGTGTACTGATTGCAGGAGGTGATATATTGGCTGATCCATAAGTCAACATTTACATTCTCTTCCATTTGCTGAAACTCCCTTCTAGCCATTTGAGTCTTTTGTGACTCTAGAGCAGCCTTTCTAAGCAGAAAGGCTATCATCATATTGTCTCAAATGATCAATTCTGACCATCAGGAGAAAAATAGAGCTACCGCCACACGGTAAGGTCTGGAATGTAAGTGCGCTGCTGTCTCTATGTTTTATCATTCCCTGAGGTAAAAGGCATTGAGAAACTACAACTTCATGCAATTGGATTTTCAAGGACTCAAATCCCTCATAATTTTTCCGACTGACAAACTCTGCTACAGACTACAAAGAAGAACTAGCTGGAATGAGTGACAGACATGAAGGAAAGTTAAGAGCCTTGGGACTAACTATAGAAGTGACACTTGTAATATACACCTGTATTTAGCTATTGTTCATCTTTTGTTGGTAGGTACTACCAGTGATATACTAATATACCAACTTTTTCTTTCCCCATCATTGGGCATAGCGTTTAATGATGGTTAAATTTACCGTCAGTCCAGTTTACATAGAAAGGTGAGTAGTACATAAAAGGTTTATGATAAATTAGGTTGGGGAGGTGTTAACAACTGTACATTTTTTATTAAGGTAATTAATGTTGTGGGGCACCGGGGTGGCTCAGTTGATTAAGCCTCTGACTTCGGCTCAGGTCATGATCTCACAGTTCAAGAGTTCGAGCCGCACGTCAGGCTCTATGCTGACAGCTTGGAGCCTGGAGCCTCCTTCAGATTCTGTGTCTCCCTCTCTCTCTGTTCCTCCCCTGCTTGCGTTCTGTCTCTCTCTCTCTCTCAAAAATAAACATTAAAAAATGATAAAAAATAATAAAAATTAATGTTGTGCAAGGCACATTTAGAAATATATGTATAGGAAGAAAATATGTGTGTGGGCAGCAAAGTGTGTAGAATGTACTGAAGATGATAGTCATGACATTACGAAACCTCAACTTCTCCTTCTAGCTAACTACCTCACTGGTATATAAATACAAAGACAGAAGTGGGTTAGGGGGAATGACAGTTCAGTTTTAGTCTTGTCGAGTTTGTTCTATCTATAAACCATCCAGCTAGAGGTGTGGATTCAGAGCTGTATCAATGTGTCTGTAATTCAGAGAAGAGCTGAGGGCAGGAGACATAGACTGGAAATCCTCCTCTGTGTATAAACACAACTACTTGTGTTGATGAAATCATCCAAGGGGCATGAATAGAAGAGAACAGGAACATGATGAAACTTTGGAGAACTGAAATTTGAAAGACTGGCAAAAGTGAGGGCAAGTCAAGAGCCTTGGGAGCTCCACAAATGTAGGAGCACTATTAAAACTGATGTCACAGTGGGGCACCTAGCTGGCTTAGTAGGAATAGTGTGCAACTCTTGATCTCAGCATAGTGAGTTCGAGCCCCACATTGGGTGGAGAGAGGACTTAAAAATAAAATCTTTAAAAAAATGATGTCACAAAAACAAGAAAAATGTTTTAAGTGGGAAAGAGTGATGGGTGTGTGGGTAGGTCAATAGGATAAGCGTCTGACTTGGGCTCAGGTCAGGATCTCGCAGTTCATGAGTTCAAGCCCTGTCTCGGGATCTATGCTGACAGCTCAGAGCCTGGATCCTGCTTTAGATTCTGTGTCTCCTTCTCTCTTCCTCTTCCCCACTCGTGCTTTGTTTCTCACTTTATCAAAAATACATAAACATAAAAAAAAACTTTAAAAAAGGTGAAAATAGCATCAGACCCTACTTTTTTATTTATTTATTTTTGAGAGAGACAGAAACAAAGTGTGAGCGGGGGAGGGGCAGAGAGAGAGGGAGTCACAGAATCTAAAGCAGGCTCCAGGCTCCAAGCTGTCAGGGCTTGAACTCATGAACCGTTAGATCATGACCTGAGCCAAAGTTGGACACTTAGCTGACAGAGCCACCCAGGCGTCCCAATATCAGACCCTACTTAAAGAATTTTGAGGCTGCTGGTGTCCTAAGCAGAGAAGTTGTCATAGAATGAAAGGGGCGATGTAATTGGCATAGAAAAGTGGGGGAAGGGAACAAAAACATAGTTTCAAAAAGTTTAACTGTGAAGGGAAAGGACGAAATAGGATAATGGCTTCATGAGATAAAGAGTAGAAGAAAAACATTTTGGAGAGGCATGATATGACTCAGTTTCTCATTGAGTTGTAGCATTCTTATTATTATCAATAAAAACATACGCTCATGAATTGCTTGAAAACTTGTATTTATTTTTCACATCCAGTCAACAAGAGAACAAAATGCCTCAGAATGAGAATTCACACTTTGAGTGAGATACAAATGTTTAGTTATTCTATTTTAGTGATTTTTGTGCATTTATAAAATAAATACCTGGCCTGTTATACTTGGAAAGGTGATGATACTGGTGTTAACTGACTGTTGGGAGTGTAGACTGTTTGCACATATCTAAGCAAGAACATGCCGTGATGTGCCTATATCTGTAAGGTATTGTACTGCCATTAGGACAGTCAAGAAAAATTTCCCGGAATTCGTACTTATCTTCTTGGCAGCAAAGACATGAATTTGCCAGCTGAAAGATATGATAATTGTACCTAAAGGAAAAGAATATTTAGCAATAAATATTTTTGGGATATCTTCTGAAACAAATTGACATCAATGCTCAAATTATAATTGTCTAAGCGATTTAGCAATCCTTCCAACCAATTTCTTCTTTACCTATACTTTGCATTTCCCTCTCACCATGAACTTCTGATGTGGATCAGTGATAATTGGTATGTAAGACAAAGGAAATCCAAAATGGAAATTTATAATCTTATAATTAGAATGTTACGGTGAAAAAATATAAACATACTTTTAAATATACAACTTCATACCAAATTATTATTTTCTATATATTAATCTACACATGAAAGTGTTCATGAACGAAAAACAATATATATTATGTCTAAAATGCAAGTGACAGTTTAAAAACACATTTTTAAGCAAGACTATCTGCTTAAGTACTATCAGTAATTACTGTGTGAAAATAAATACATTTGCTATGAATATATTAGGTTTGATTTATTTAGAAGGCTACTTTAAAACCATTCATTACTGTTGAAAATGTTTATTTTATTTCTAAGATCTTAATGTCTTAGATATTTGTTTCATCAGGTTTTGATCATTAGCTCTCACGTAAAAAAATGTTCCATGTAATTTTTAAAACTTAATTTCCTCCACAATGTTACAAAATTAATGCACAGTACACATTCAAAGAAACACTCACCTGACAGTGTTCTTACATTCCCCTACACATCTTGCCATCTCAAGTTTTTTCTGGCAACCACGGTACTTAACAGTCACATTCACAAGTGAAGATCTACAATTAGTATTACCTAAAACAAAATGATAATAGAACCAGAAATGAGGTTTAACATTAGCAATTGCTAAGTCTCAGTTTTCTGAACCTTTAGTGGAGAATCATAACAAAAAATACTTCATAGTGTTGTTGAAGGGTTTAACTACTTCAGCACCCAGCACAAGGTACCTGGTTAGTATTCAATAATTATGTTTAATAAATGTTATCTTTTCATTAGTGCTATCATATTATCATAGGAGAAAGAGGAGGGAGGGAACAAGGAGGAAGGGAGGAGAGAAGGGGGGAAGGGAAGATGGAGCTGAATGGATTGTTTCTGACATCCATTTCTCATTGTTGACCATTCTTATTATCTAATGTATCAGTTTACAACACAACCTGCTTATATTAGAGAGCAAACTATATTTTTTTTCATGAGAATCAAATTTCTTCCTTGTAAACACCATTGTTTTTTATTGGGAAGAATGTTTCAACCAACATGAAAAAGTATAATACATAACGTAGACATATCAATTGTTAGTTTCTGCATATAGGTTAGATGACCTGTTATGTTAAAAACACAGGAGACTTTCTATTAATGATCTGACATTTTGTTTTAAAGAAACACTAAATTTTTGTCAACTGTTGACATTTCCTCTACATGTGGAACCTAATGTTACTTACATGTATAGCAACATTTGTTTGAATCATAGACTCTGTCTTCCTATAGGGGTAAGAAAAATAGAAAAAAAGACTTAAAAACATAAGTATTATTTTATAAATAATGATAACATTACTGAACTTACTGAAATTACAAAGGGGAAAATGGAACAGATAAATATGCTGATCTCAGATCCAGGAAGCATGGATGAGAGAGCATAATAATAAAAATGAGTCTGAATATTTACACTAAAAATTTTCAACCGTAGGGAGAAAGGGAAAAAAATATCTAAAATGAAGTCTTCTTTAAAATAACATGCAAGAAAGTAAAAAAAAAAATAATCCTACCTTATATTAATTGAAAAATACTTTAATACTGATATTACTACTAGACACTGTAAGTTTCTTACAGACAGGATTTTAACTTTACACATTAAAACTCAATAAATGTTGGGCGCCTGGGTGGCACAGTCGGTTAAGCGTCCGACTTCAGCCAGGTCACGATCTCGCGGTCCGTGAGTTCGAGCCCCGCGTCAGGCTCTGGGCTGATGGCTCAGAGCCTGGAGCCTGTTTCCAATTCTGTGTCTCCCTCTCTCTCTGCCCCTCCCCCATTCATGCTCTGTCTCTCTCTATCCCAAAAATAAATAAAACGTTGAAAAAAAAAAATATTATAAAAAAAAAACAAAACTCAATAAATGTTTAAATCCAACATTGGAGTACTGAAATCAAACTTTAACTATATTATCACTTATATCTTCAGAAAGAAAAATTAGTTAAGTTTGAACTGGTGAGCATTTATTATTAACTAATTTAATTAAGACTTAAGCTTAAAACTTAGCATTTACTAATACAAAATCCTCACCATATGGTGGAGGACAGTAAAAATGAAGACTGTGGCATAAAGAAAGAGCTGAAAAGTACACTTAATGTGATTTTATGAAAACTTTGTATTTTTATAAGAAATGATTAACCCGAATCCATGAGCCTTAAAAAAAAAAACAAGGTTGGTGTGTTTTGGGTTTTTTTTTTTTTTTTTTTTTTTTTTTTTTTTTTTTTTTTTTTTTTTTGGTTTGTTTAAAAGTAGCAAAATGCTTTCTAAAGTAACATACTTCTTCTAGAATAGCACTAGATTAAGCTTCACGGAGCCTGCAAATATAACTTTGATATGAAAAATATACTTGGCAATAAAAGGTGTGAAACAGATCTGGAATGGAATCCATAAGAAATTTATGTCTGTTGGCCAGACAGACTTTTCCAAATGAGAAAGAAGACAGATTGTGTTTATATTTAACATAAGAAGTGGATGTTGTTGATCATTACTTAAGAAGATAACTTACTTCTGCACACCAGGTCTGCTTTGGGCAGTCCTGGACCACTGCGATGAAACCAGTGCTATGGCAGGAGTAGGAGATGCATGGATTGCTGGGGTCATCAAATGAAGCACCAATCTGGGAGGCAGAGAGGAAGAAAGAAGAAAGGAGTTATTCATCTTGATTTCTTGTTGAGGTTGAAAATAAAAATCTGTAAAAAAAAAAAATTCAAATTCAGATTGTTAAGTGAATTTCCAGAGGTACCTTCAGTCACTAATTAATATTTAAGAAAAGTGAGTTAAAAGCTGCCTACTTCCATGAATAAATCAATATGCCTCCTTGAGAGCACAGATTGTGAGTCAAGATTCTGAATCCTCAAGTGAAAATTCACATATTCTATTCACCTACTCAGTCACTGTATTATATTTTAAAAATATTTTCAAGAAAGGTTGTATTATGATAACAGGAAATCAACCAATTGTTATGCTCTAAATTTGAGGGAAAAGAAGTAATCTAAGTAGAAAAATTGGCACAAAATAGTTTTATCAGATTACTACAAATGATAAATGATAACAAATGATATATCCCACGAGACATCCTACCTCTACTTCTGCTTGTATACTTGTAAAGTTCTCTGGATTGCTTTAAAAATAATTTATGTTCGAAATTCAAATGCCAGTTTGGGAAACTGTATTTATTTCAAACTGCAAAATGAACTTTCTGATAAACTGGAATTTTATTATTTCAACTATTTTACATACAAATGGTTAGAGGTAAAACTTTTCCTTTGTTCTTTAAACATCATCATATTTTATGTTTAAAAACTTGCATAGATTCTATGGGGCGCCTAGATGGCTCAGTTGGTTAAGCATCTGAATCTTGATCTCAACTCAGGTCACGATCTCATGGTTTGTGAGTTCAAGCCCTGCATTGGGCTCTGAGCTGACAGCAGGGAGCCTGTTTGTGATTCTGTCTCTCCCTCTTTCTGCCCCTCTTCCACGGCACTCTACTCTCTCTCTCTCTCTCTCAAAATAAAAATAAAATGGGGTGCCTGGGTGTCTCAGTCTGTTAAGCATCCAATCTTGATTTGGGCTCTGGTCATGATCTCATGGTTCATGAGCTCGAGCCTCATATCGGGCTCCATGCTGATGCCATAGAACCTGTTTTGTATTCTCTCTCTCTTCTCTCTCTCTGCCCCTCCCTCCTTGCACTGTCTCTCTTTCAAACCAAATAAATAAACATTTAAAATAAATAAATAAACCAAGAAAAAAAACTAATCACATTACCTTTGGAAACCAAAAATTAAGAAACCAAGACAGAAATGTGAACATGATAAAGAAGTTAAAACACTCATCAGCTCTGTTTTATATATTTCTTAACATACCATATAGATTTTATGCTAGACTCTTAATATTTAGTATCACCAGCTCAAAAGGATTATCAATTTGAGAACCATGTGGGTTTTATGGCTTCCTGGTACCTTTTTTAAAAAGTTAAATTACTTTCCAAAATGCCAAATCACTTGTCAAAATCTAGCCCTGAATATACGTGTTGTTATATTCACATAATGGGGTTCCAGTCTTTTGGGGTTTTTCATTTGATCTCTGACAGGTTGGCCATCTGATATTTCTGGCTATAATTACAGTTTAACTCTGTTCATTGATTTGAATGTCACAGAGTGTGCCTTCTCCATCTGGTCAGACCCCTGGGAAATTTTATTCAGAAGTTAGGTAGTTAATGATCAAGTGCATTTTCCTCCTTTGAAGCGAGCCATGCTGAGTGTTACATTTGATGCTCCTTTTGAAGTGAATATAGGGGGGAAAAATGAACAGATCCTGCTCCACCATTACCAATGATTTTTTCAAATTATAAACTGAAAAAGCCTACATTTATTCATAATTATATAAATAAAAATATTTTAAAGTAAAAACAGCCTTACCTTATACTCAGTATTGTTAAATAAGCACGTTCTTGGTTCTGAAAAATAAATACATTATTTTACCCTAAAATAAACATTATAATTCTGTTTTTATTTATAAACCAGAAATTGCATATGGAATCATATTTATCAACCAATTAAAATGTTTCTTCCCAAACACCGTCATCTCCCTTTAATAAACTCATTATATTCATAATTATTAATTCTAGGTTTCCCCCACTCCAAAGATAGTGAGTTTTAAGAGATCAAGTATGATTCTGTTTTATTTATCACACTCCTCTAGCATGGAGTTTAACACATATTAGAAGCTCAATGAATATCTCTTGAATATGTGAATAAGTAAACAACTGTTCAATTCAAATAATGTATTGTGAATACACACCACAGTATCCAATTTCACAGCAGGAATCATCAGCTTTGAACTTTACAAGCCTCTCTCCAGTTTTGCATGTGGGTGCAGAAGGGCACTCCTTGGGTTTACAGTCTACAGCCTTTGCATCAGTACAGGTGCATTTGTGGCAATTGGCAGTCCATATATCTCCAGGCTACAGACACAAACCAAGTTCAGACTTCTATTCAGATACAGGAATGACAGCAATTGGATTAAAGTAGAGACAAAGTGTGTACTTACAGATTTCTCTTCTCCCAGCGGACCATGACAAACTGTTAACATGAGATGATAAAAGGTAATTAAATTTGGCAAAATAGAACCATCTGTTATACATAGATAACCACCAGGTGGCCAATACAGAAAAACAGAATTATGGAGAATTGTATGGTGCCTTCAGGTGGGTAAATCACATCCACCTACTTTGAGCAAACTGTCTCTAATGAGTATAGATATTTCCTACTTTACAATCCCAGCACAGGTTAATTATTAATTTCTGCTGGCAGTGGTCAATAAATCTTAAGACTGTTGTTTTACTTACTGTTTTACAGTCTGACTTCTGCTTCCATACCCTGCAAGTCACCAAGACTCTGTAATTACCAGTCCCTAAGGCCCTTTATCAGTTTTTCAAGTTCCCTACAATTGCTGACATTTTTAACTCTCACCTTCTTGAAAATGTTCTCCTCCCTTCAAATTCAACACTCTGAAATTCCTTTCTTTATTAGCAACTTTTTCTCTTCCTTCTCATTGTCTCTGTCCTTTCCTGGTACTTTTCTTCTATCTCCAGTATCCACTGTAATGTCAGGTGGATGACTCTCAAACTTGTAGCTCCAGTACAGATATCTCTTCTAAACTATGGGCCCAGGTTTCCCTTGGCCTAATAAACAGCATTGCAGACCTAATAAATGGCATTATTGAGACCCTCAAACTCAATAAGCACAAAACAGATTATATCATCTTGCCCCTAAAACCAGTTTCTCATCTAAACTGACTTCTTCCTCTTGAGAACCAAAGTATTCTTTCAATTATTTGAGCTTAAAACTTAGGAGTCATTTTGATTCCTTCCATTTCATCACTTGGCACCCAATCGACTGCAAAATTCTGTATCTTTATCTTTACTTCATTCCCTTCCTTTCCTGGTTGTACTTGCTACAGTACTACTCCAGGATGTTGTTATCTTTAATGTAGCATATGTGGGCTTTTCCAGGGGTAACTCTGACTCAGATTACTTCCTGATCCAATCAATTCTCTATACCACAGGTAGAACAGTTTTTCTAATGCCTAGTTTTCACCTCATCTTTGCCTTGGTTAAAAACTTTGGATGGCCCCTAATAGACTTATAAAATAAATACCTAATTTCAGCATTCTAGCTTCTGAGGTCTGCCACAATGTGGCTCCAATCTATCTTCCCAACTTAGTCTCATTCTCTCATTTACATGCCCTGGACTAGCCTACATGTTTCTCTCAAATTCCAATTCTGTAGTGAAATACCTAAAGATTCCTCCAAAGTATACAATATATGTAATATATACATGACAGATAATATGTGCTCTCTATATAATACATATTTCAAGTCTTTTTTATTGTGAAATTTATTTTCAGCCTTATATGAAAACTGTTTTTCTTTAAAAAATATCCCTTCTTCCACTATATCCTAAGATTAGAGAATGATTTTCTTTTTGGGGAGGGGGCGGGTAACTTCTGTCACTTTCTAAAAAGCACATCACATTGGATGGAGAACAGTGGGGACTCAAAATCCTCTAAAATTATCGAACTTCGGTTAACTTTAATTTCCCTTACTCCTCAAAAAATCTGGAATTATCTGGTTTAAAAAAATACTATTTTTTAAACAATTTTTTGATGACAATTTTTTGATGAAGCTATCATATAATTAAATAAAACACTTTATTTAGTAAGTAAACTCTATTTTGAGTAAGTAACAAGAGGTATTTGTTTGGTTTGGCTGCATTAGTCTGTGGATGAGAAAACAGACTACCATTTGCTATGTATTTGGTGAATAAAAGCTAAATTCCTCCATTTCCAGTTTTCCTATTCTGAAACATTTCCACAGCTAGCAACTTTCATAGGCATGACCTCTGATATTTGACTTACAAGAAGAACCATTAATGTAGAATGGTTGATTTTCAAGTAGAAGTATTCTTGTTTTTTTAAGTTTGTTTATTTATTTTGAGAGAGAGCGAATGCATGCAGCAGAGGGGCAGAAAGAGGGAGAGAGAATCCCAAACAGGTTCCACACTGTCAGTGCAGAGCCCAATGCAGGGCTTGAAATCACGAACCATGAGATCATTGCCCAAGCTGAAGTCAGAGGCTTTACTGACTAAGCCATTCAGGTGCCCCTTGAGTGGAAGTATTCTTACCTGGAGGTGGTGGAAGTGATGCTGGACATCCTGTGTGAAAACAGGCACCTCATGTTAGCCTCTAAAGTTATTGAAATTGTTTCGGGGTAAAATAGTTATCTAATAACTGAAAATAATTGGCTACATTGCTAGTCTTACAGACTTATTTCTGTCTACCTTCCTGTGGGGAATAAGCTTAGGCATTCCCTGAGCCTGCACTGATGGGTTAACAAGGCATAAAGAATTACAAAGCCATAGGATGTTCGCTCACACCCAAGTTTGGGTAAACAAGATTAGGTAAATAGGTATAGAGAGGGCAGGGCAGAGGCCCCAATATGGAACAAAGGCATATGAGGTAAACAAGATTAGGTATTCAGGGCAGAAACACCCCCCAACTTAGTACTATAGCAGAAAGCTGCTTTCACAGGAAGGAAGGAACAAATTAGGTAAACAGGTAAATAGGGCAAAGGGGAAGTTGCCCAGAGCGGAGCTAATTAACAAAAGAAAGGCTGACCCTGAGGTTGAGTGCTCTGTCTTTCTTGTCCCCTAGACCAGTTTAGTTAAACAGAGGTGGTGCCTCACCTCTGCTGTAAACAACCTTCTGCCTGACCTCCTGGCACCAGGATTTTGTTTTGTATTAACCCAAACCCCTAACCCCGCATATTTTCAAAACCTCCTTTCCCTCATGTCCATGAGTTAATGTTGACAGTTTCATTATCCCTTTGTGCATGTCCATCACCATGTTTGTAAGCCTTCCGATCCTAATGAAAATAGATCAAGGACCCTTAATTGGGGCTCTCGTCTTCTCCCAGACATTAGTCATCTCCCACATTTTAATCCTGTGTCCCATTTTCTTGCTAGACAAGAAAGAACTCAAGACCCAGAGTCTATGACACTTTCCTTTTCTGCTCCTCATGGCATTTCAAATTGCACCTTAGAGAAAAATCCCTTTGGACCTCAAATTTGAATGGGAGGGGAAAATGGGAGCCTAGAGGAGAAATGAGAAAATATCAAGGTAAACTACTCCTTGATTTTTTTTGGCAGACACCTCCTATTAAAAGGACAGTAAAATATGCATTCAAAAAGGAAAAGGATAATTCAGGTATAGGAAAATGTGTTATTAGTAATCTAGTTTTAATCCTTTAAGAACTTTTATCCTCTTTTTAACTTCCTGAAATATTTCAATCTTATTCCATCTCCACCTGCACCAGATGGCGTAAGCTGGCCATATGTTTCTTTTTAAGTCTTCACATATCACATATTTTGGTCAACCCAACAATTCACTCAAAAAGTTCAAATTGTATTTCCAAACTTCTAAAAAATCAAATTAATATTTTAATTCTACCCACCAAGCAAAAGTCCAGCCTAGAATATTTGAAAGAACTTAAAATTGTTACATGTTGAGGTAAAGGGGCCACAACAACCAATAAGGGCAGAAGAAACAGAAAGAAAATTAGTTAAAGATGTGGGAGCTTGGGGATCAAATGTCTCTTTTAACTGAGGGAGGCTAAATTAATCCCCAATTATAAATGCTTAACAGATTAGCAGAAAACAGCAACCAGAGAGAGAAATGTCCTATTAGGGATAAATACAGCAGAAAATCTTCCCTGATCAGAATTCCAAGGGTTCATTGAAGACATTTGTAAGAGGAGCCATAAAGAACAATCTCCTAATCTCCACATTGCTGTCAGAGTCAATTCTCTAAAACATCTTTCTGATCATCTCATTCTCTTGACAAAATCCTTAAGGGGATCCCATTTAGTATATGGATAAAGTCTCATTTAAATTTAGAAATAAGGTTTTTCTTGAACTTGCTTCTACTTTCCAATCTCATTTATCCCCTGAACCTCATACATTCATGACCGATACCTGGCTGATTCCTGAACTCATTCATGATATCACATGTCTCTGTCTTCTCATGGCTGGTTGGCAGGAATTCCCTCTTCACCCCAGCCAATATTAAACTCAGTCATCTCCTTTCTGATGCCTTCACTCAACATTACCAACTAATAAGCAGAAATTAATATTCTATTCTCACTATACAACTGGGACCATAATGATTATACATGTTTGGGGGTTAGCCTTAAATATACTGTAATGATAGTATCTGTGCCCATAATAATCTACCTACAAATACACAAAAGTAATAAAACAGCAAGGACTTTATTTTATTGATATTTTTGCTATTAGCTTCTGCTACAAGTCTAGCATATATAAAGAAATATTAGTTAGATAAGTAAAGAAATTGGGATTTGCCCCATACTGACCTGTTTTATTTTCAGTTTCTTGGTCTCTTGTTGTGACTAGAGTGGTTTCTAAAGAGAAATAAACTAATGGTATTGTCATTTTATTTATTAGGATAACACGTATGCATATCAAGTCTCTCTCTCTGTGTATATGCACAAATGACAGTGCAAAGTCATGCTCAAAGGAAGCTTTGTGTGAAATAAACAAGTCATTCCAGCACAGTTGGGTCATTTCATTTTACCTGGGTAGGATATTTTGGGTCTTGTTGTGATTTTAGTTGACATGGAGGTGGAGCCTACAAAAGGAAATACAAAAAAATTTCAAGAATAGCACATTTCATAATCCCATTCCCAGAGATTTCAAGCTCCATAATTAAGTCTTCAGATGAGGAATTTTGGTGAAAGCCTAAACAATAAAAACAAAAACAAAAACAATCCTAGATTATATATATATATATATATATAATTT